GATATTTTTGTCCACAGCTTGGGTGCTTCTTACTGTGTTAGTTCGCTAGTGATGAATTTATTCAAGTTTTCTGAAATATCGTAATTATACTTACACTTTTGAAGGTATTTTTACTGGATATAAGATTCTGAGTTGACACCCTTTTTCAGCACATTAAAGATATAATTTTATTGTCTCCAGGCCTCCATCACAACTAATTAGAAGTTAGCCAGCATTATTATATTTATTCCCCTATATATAGTATATATTTTTCTGTGGCTACTCTTAAATTGTTCTCTTCTTATTTGCATCAGTTTGACTATGTCATCTGCTTGTAATTTCCTCATCTTTAAGTGAATATATTTTTTTCTAAATTTGTACATTTCTGGTCACTATTTCTTCATTTTCCCACTCCATTTTACTTTGTCTTCTCCTGGAACATTAATTACATGCAGAGTAAATACATTCATACTGTTCCACATGCTGCTGAAGCTCTATTTAAATGTTTTTAATATTTTCTTTCCTCTCTAAGCTTTACTTTATATTGATATGTTTACTGATCCCTTCCCTGATATAGTCAAATTAGTTTAAAGTTCATTATTATACTATTAATTTCACAGATTGGATTTTTCTGTTCTAAAATTCCTATTATGTTCTTTCTTATAATTTTTATATCTTTCTTGAGAATCCTCAGCTGTTTACTGATTTGTCTAGCTTTTTTTTAAAGTTTCTTTAAGAACAGTGTAATAGTTGCATTAATTTCCTTCTACTAACCTAATATCTGAGTCATGAGCCATCGCTTTCTCTTGACTGTATTTTTTCTTGATTATTAACCACATTCCCCTGCTTCTTGGTATGTTTACTGAATTTCTATTGTATACATGATATTTTGGATTTACATAGACTGAATTTCTGTTATCTTCTTCAAAATACTTTTCAGTTACTTCTTTTTCTTCTGGAAAGTAATTAAATTACTAGATCATCTTGGATTGGATTTACACCTTTCTGTGACCAGTTGATTTTGTTTCTATTTTGTTATTGCTTTGCACCTTGGTTTTTCTTTGTTTTTATGACATAGAGCTTCTGTATTTTCAATGAAAAGCCCACAGTTTTTACCAAACTCCTGTAATTTGATGAGACATCATTTTGAATTATGTCTTCCCAGTAACTTCTCAAACTTTCAGTTCTGTAGCCTTCATTCCTGATACCTGCTAGGGTCCTTGGTGATTCCTTGCTAACTTTCTCATGAATACAAAGTTTTAAGAATCAGTCAAAGACTTAGAAATGCCTAGTATGCAGGACCTGGGTCTTCCCACATGTGGCTTGCTTCATTCCATTTTATTTCCCATCAATTTCCAGCCTTAAATTAATATGTCTTTTTCTCTGCCCAGGAATAGTCATTTATGTTTGAGTTCTCCCATATTTACAAAGAAAAAAAACTGATTAAATGTAAAACTCACCAAATTTAGCTTTTGTTTCAAGAATTAAATCTGTCTACTTTTGCTTGCTTACCAACTCATCAAAATATTTTTAAATATTTATTTTTCGGAGCTGTAATGGTTAGACATTAGAGTAAGTCTAATATGAGTTTCTTTTATATAACCAGAATCAGACTTCTCTTTGAAATATTGATACTAGACATAAGGTTTTGTGTGAATGAGTTTCTCTAAGTTTAGTCTAGAAATGTTCAATTAATTGTTTCTCAGGGATGCGATCTTGGCCCACACAGAATACAGGAGTACCTTATGACAGAAAAGAACATTAATTCAGACTCTATCGTGTACCAAAGCTGAGCAAACAGTATCATTTAAGACCAGTTACATCTGTAGGTGGGTAATAGTTTTTCTTACCATCATTAGCAACAATTTAGTCATAAAGAATTGTCCTGACTTATTTAAAGCTATAGAGTTTAGAGGTGAGATACCTACAATTAAGTAATTATCTAATATCTATAATCTTCTCATTGATCTTTCCATTGACCAGATATTTCTGAAATTACTGAGACTTTACAATGTTAAAGATATGAATGTTCCCATCTTTCAGGCCCACCCAGGAGGTACTAACACATCTATGGGAAATTGGTACCCTTCTGGTTTACAGATGTTGATTGGCAATAGTTTGTGTGGAGCTCTGTGTTAAACAATGTTGCAACGTCTTTAGTATTCTGTGGGAAACATTTTTGGGAAATATTAGTAATGTTGACCATCAGTACCAAAGTTGGAGTGGCAGCATAAGTATCAGGTAATTAAAATGAATTGGAAATGTGTCTTTGTTACTTGGAGAAAATAACTTGTGAATGAAAATAATAGGGAAAGGAAAGAACGTGGCAAAGCTCCTGGGAGGGGGTGATTTCCACAACAAATATGATTCTATATTCCAGTCCTACTTTCTACTCTGAGTGAGTCCACCTCTGGCCAGTGAAATGAGGCAGAGAGCAATTTAAGTAGGACATGTTCTTGAGGCAATTCCAGGACAAGTTGCAGGGATTGCCAGAGGACGAAGCCTCTGTTCAGAATTTCTTCTGGGCAGTGGTACTTAAAGGATATGCAATGGGGGTTTGCAAGTGTCTGATGTCCTTAGCATGATGACTTTGACGAACCACTAAAAGGAACTCTGTACTAACAGGCTCAAATGTACCCTCTTAGATGTAACTAATTTTACCTATTTTTTATACCATTTCACCATGCTAAACACTTTTGGAAGCCTAAGAAACCCTAATAGTCTCAGGGTCTTGGAATATTTAGGCTCCGTTATCTGCATAGTATGTTATGCACCGAATGTTCGTGTACTCCCCAAAATCATATGTTAAAGCCCTAACCCCCAGTGTGACAGTATCGGGAGTGGGGCTTTTGGAAGATTAGTTCGTGATTCCAGGGCCCTGGTCTGATAGGATTACCACCCTTGTACAAACAGATACCAGAGAGCTCTCTCTCTCTGCCTCCCTCTCTCTCTGAGTGACCACGAGAAGACAAAACAAGAAAGTGACCACTGGCAAGCCAGAGATCCCTGACCCAAAACTGAATCGGCCAGCACTGAATTTGACTTCCAGACTTCAGAACTGGGAGAATGAATTTCTCTTGCTTAAGTGGCTCACTCCATGGTATTTTAGTTATCGCATCTCAAACAGGTTAAAACATAGGTGTTGGCGTTATTAATAATTACATTTATTCTATTTTTGTGGTTTCTATTGATTTTCTATGTGTCATGGAACTTTCTGAGTCCTTTGCTTACATTCTTTTGTGAACCCTCCCAACAATGCCAGGCACAGCAGTCCCATGAGTTAGGTGTGGCATCTCATTCACAGCGGAGGGACTGGAGCACGTGACTGAGCCAATGAAATACATGATTAGCACTCAATTGCTGAGGAGTTTGGAAGGAAAGCTGTTCGCCATCCCGAGTGCCCCGGTATGGCAGGGGTCTGGACACTGGGTATGATGGGTGGTGGCCATCCTTGACTTTCACCCGGCTGACTCACGGCAAAAGCCTTCTGAAGCAGCTTTTGCTGGAGCATAATTTTCCCTTGAGATCTTCCTGGAAACTTGTCCTAATTATTGAGGGCTATAGACACCTACCCAGCTTCTTTGGAATTCTCCCTGGGAAACCCTAGCTCCTGCAATCTAATCCTAGTTAAATGGAAAGACTTCCAAAAACTGGCAAATCACCTACATTTAAGTATTGAGTGAGAACTGAGGTCAAGAGCCCTGTGAGCCCACTGACCTGCCTGGTCAGGTCCATGTGCTCACCCCCCTGGGACACCGCCCTTAGGGCCTGGGGTTGCAGCTGCCAGCGTCCTCGCACCCAGTCCAAACCTAAACTCAATCCTGACCCATGATCCCCAGGTAATAATGATATCACCGCAGAAAGAAACATGCCATGTTGTTCCACAGGACAGAAGGAACCTTTCCTCTCTTTTAAAATATTGCTATTCTTGGGTACTAAGAGGTCCTGCTTCACAATGAAATCATAAATCAAGAAGCCCCTTTAAAACTCAGGCATGGAAATCTCTGTTACATTTGACTTTAGTTGAATGACTTCAGCTATTTTCTTCCTCTAATATCTGGCGTTCAGCCAACCGCAGGACTCTTGTTTTCTGTTCATTTGTAAATTAATATATCTGGAAGCAAAACTGTCTGTGAAAAAAGCAGATTCACTTTTCTCCAAATGTAATGAAATTATGTTTGGGGAAGCCTCTGTTGATGTCCAAGAATCTTTATGAGCCTTTTAAAGTCATTGTTTTCTTCTCACAAATGAGAACTAGCGGATGCCAAGGAGTAATGAACTGGAAAACCACATGGTGACAGTTGGTTCTTAGGCTGGCCTCGTGCATTAGCAAGGCCTGCTGGGGAGGAATCTTCTGCCTTCCTTACCTCTTGCTTTCCCTCTCTTTCCTGTCTTTTTTCCCTCTTTTATTCCGACCGTCTCTTTTGCTGCCCACCCTACCCCCCGCCTCCTTTATCCCTTATGCAATAGACACAGGCTTTAGAATAGACCAACATGGGTACATATTGCAATCTGTCACTGAATTGTGTGGTCAGTATTGTGCGAATGTGATACTTTATCTCCCTGAATCTCAGGTTTCTCATCTGTGAAATGGTGATGATACAGTTATTCCTTACTTCCTTCCCCATAAAGAATCTGTCTTTGATTCAGGTGTCCACCTCAACCCTATGCAGCTCTGTGACTCAGTGCAGAGGTGTGGGGGAAAGACTTCCAGACCCACAAGGGGTCTGGAATAATCACAGTCAGCAGTGGTCATCTTGTCGCCCCGGAGAGCAGGCAGTACAGGAGCCCAGGCTCCCACCTGTCAGAGTTCGGGGTCGGTTAGAGGTCGGCTGGGACGTGGGGGAGCAACCTCTCGCTCTGCTCCCTGGACGCGTGCTGTCTCAGCTTCTAAATGCATCACGTAGCTGTGGATACGAGCAAGCACCCTGTTACACCAGAAGGAGGCGAAAGACCAGGAGAGAGTTGACGCTCCGTCCCTCATCATGCTGTACACCCACACTAGACTAGGACTTCCTGCAGAGACCAATTCCTTTATTATTTAATCCAGTTAATAGCTTTTTTAATCCAGAAGCATCCTAACTGCATATATACATAAATCAAATGTGATCATTTATAGTTGTGCATTTAATAGTGTATTCTAGGTCCTCAAGGGGTATTTATTAGTTTTCTTCCCCCTGTTTTAGATTTCTCTCCTTTTTCACTGAGTCTCTTTTTCTCTACTCTCTATAATCCAAACATATCTCAGCATCACCAGGCCTGAAAACCCATAGAAAGTATGATGTTATTAGGATTTTTTTGCTCCCCAAAAACAAGAGATCCTCAGTGTACTCAAAGCTTGGAGGGTTGGGTGCAGGGAGACACACGTACAAATGGAAACTGGATTCTCAGCCACTCGTCCAAGCTCTGGGGGACTTCAAAACTAGCTGGAAAGAACAAAAAGCATGCTATGTAGGGGGCCTCATGGTCCAATGCTTGAAGAAATAATACTTCTTGGGTATTCTCTTATGCCCTCAACAGAATAAACTTGTTCACCCATACTCTAACGGGACCTTACAAAGTATTTGTCTACAAATAATTCCTGTCCCGGCTGCCTCTATCTCAGCATTTTATATTAAATCTCAAAGACAAAATATCTGCTGTGTACATAGTTCCTGTGAGGCCCAGCTCTTAGGCTACCAGCCACCCTATACATTGCTATTCCTCCTTTATATAGATATATATAAATATATAAATACATATATGCAACTGTTCTTTCTTTAGCCCAGTCGTCTTTGACCAGAGTTCCTGGGTCACACAGCATAGACCTGTACACATTCAAACAACTGTCGTCTAACAGATCATTAGGTACGTACTTTGTGCTAGACCCTGTTCTAAACTCAGGTCATGAATAAAGTAACCAAAGAACTTTCCAGGTAAAGTTTTCTTAGAAATGGGGAGACGGTAACAGTAGATATAAACGTAGTCGTAGTAAGAAAAGGGAGCAAGGGTGAAACGGTAGAAGTGAGGCTGTGTGTGGGAGGAGGGGATAGGTGACACGTGGCAGGCAGGGCACACCACTCTGGTATGCTCGGGTCAAGATCTCAGTGCAGTGTGGGAGTGAGCCACTGAGTACTGAAAGGAGCAGCACGGGAAGGGAACCTTAGGTGCAAACGTCCTGTGTCCAGAACGTGCTTCGTTTGTTAGAACATCTCACAGGCGGGTGTACCTGCCGTGATGTGAGAACAGGGAGGGGGTGGGAATGTGGTCGGGTGGTGGAGCTGGTGTCCTCTCCCTCAGCAGTGGCATTAAAGGGCAGTGGGTTGCCCCAGGGGTGTGTCAAGGTCTTGTGGGCATCCTGTGGCTTGGCCTCTTGGGAAGGGGAAACTGAGATCCGTGTCTTGGTCTTCCAAATCCCACAGAGTGGATCATTCATCTCCTTTCTCTCCCCACGAGGTCCCATTAACGGATCTACTACTTTCTTCTTCCATTCTGGGCGCTTTCCTATGACTCTTGCTCCTCTCACCCTCTCTTTCTGCAGCTGGAAGGAGCCTCCTTGGGTATCCTGAAGACACAGGTGTCACATGCCTCCTGCAGCCACAGCGAGGTGGCTGGAGGGCAGGATCTTGTTCCCCAGGAGATCTCACAGCTTCAGCTAGAACCTGGTATATAAAAGGTACTTGGGAAATCTTGGTGACCAACAGGATCTGCTCAACAGGACTGTGCTTGACCTGCAGCTGAGCCCTTTGCATAGTTCGTATAACCCCAGGGTCCTGCTAGTTGGAGAAAGGTTTCTTCTCTGTCCAATGACAAATCACTCTGGGATCTTGGCCAGGTTGAATTTACCATGGGTTCAAATTTTGATTAGGTACCTGAGGTATAATAAAAAAGAAAAAGAAAAAATCAGTTTCTGATACAATGTCACTAAAACCCTCCTGAGTGACAACTGTCTTCTGTATGCTAATGAGATGACTCACGGTGGAGGGAACTACGTAGCTTCAAGATGCGGCCTGGTCAACAGAAAGAACCAGCCACAATTAGAGGATTGGAACTGTCAGCCCTACCTCTTGACCTCCCTTGGGAGAGGAGAGGAGCTGGAGATTTAGATCACCAATGGCCAATGATTAGATCAATAATGCTTATGTACTGAAACCTCCATAAAAACCTCTAAAGGATGAGGTATGGGGAGCTTCTGGGTTGGTGAACATATGGATGTGCTGGGAGGGTGGTGCACCCTAAGAGGGCATGGAAACCCTACTCTTTACTGCCCAGTACACGATTGTCCTATGCATCTCTTCTATTTGGCACTTCTTGACTTGTATCCATTATAATAAACCAGTGACTCTAACCGTGCTCCTGAATTGTTCCGGAGAATTACAGCACTTGTATAAGGAAATATACAAATTCCCAAGGTTGTAGCTGGCTAAGTGGAAGTGTGGGTTACCTGGGGACCCCACTGAAGCTGGTATTTGAAGTGAGGAGCAGTCCTGTGGGACTGAGTCCTTAACCTGTGGGATCTGCATTAACTTTAGGTAGTTAGGGTTAGAACTGAACTGAATTATCAGACACCCAGTTGGTGTTGGAGAACTGAAGTATTGGTTGTTTGCATGGGAAAAACAAAACATACAGTTCCCCAAAGGTAGCCAGTGTTAACTTTCCCCTCAAAGATTTCGGATTAATTCTTGGAATTATTAGGACATAATAGAGAGGTATTATCTAAGGAAACTATTTCTAGGGTTCAGAGGCAGAGCAAAATGGGTCAGGTGTTGATTTGCTAAGCCTGACTTGGGATGTTGGCATCTGGCTCAACGCAGCCAGAAGCTAAAGGAACCAGAATTGAGTCTGAACCACAGACCATAGAATGTGCTAAAGATCAAAGCCTATGAAAGCAAGTGTGAACATGTATGGCCATGGAGCCATAAAAGCTTGCTTAATCCAAGGGTCAGGATCTAGTCTAGGACTTGCGCCAGCAGGCACAGACTGAGACTGGGTGAGGGACGGGCATGGACAATGTGCTGACAGGGCCTGGAGAATCTTCTTCTCCCTTTTATCTGCTAATTAAGGGAATTGATTATCTGCTTCACTTAAGGAAACAGGGTCATCACCTGGCGTCTTACTCCATAGTAACGGAGCTCAGATGGCAAAGTAGAACACCAAGGAGACCGTCAAACCGAAGTCACAGATATTTTGTAGCATAAATACAACCAATAGTTACCGTTCTCTGAATTTGAGAGCCCAACTTCAGACCATTTTCATAACCACTGCTCGCCTCTTCGGATAGATGCCGTGGCTGCGGGGGGAGGTATTACTCACAAGAAGCTCTGCTGCCTCTCCAGTCTTGGGGTGCAGTGTCACTGCAAGAACTCAGTGGTGTGAAAAGAAGCTGAAAGTTTCTACCTTAAACTGCAAGGTGCAATAGCACAGTGGCTAAGCAGGCTTACGCCAGAGCAAGACCAATTAAGGTCAAATACTGGCTGTGCTACTTCCTATCTGCATGATTCATGCTCTAGGTTCACAGGAACATCTGCCTGTTAAGAGGCCGCCTCACTGTTAATCACTTTGTCTTGTCGGTCACCTATTAGCAAAGTCAAACTATCATGGTAAGGAAGCCCTAAGCTTGCTTTCTGTTACCAATTTCTTTGTGATACTCCGAGCCTTCCAACCAGTTTCAAAGCCTCCTCCCACCCCCAAACATTAATATTAGCTTGTAAAATCTGTTCAAATAGGAGCTTTTGAGTATCAGTACCCTAAGTGGTTATAGATCGGTGAATTATCGTAAGTACTCAAAGACCAAGCCTAGGAAGGAGCCGAATGAGGAATTGTGTTAATAAATAAGACAGAGAAGGCATCCTCCGAAGTGTGGAACTTCTGCTTTTCCATGACACGCAAACTGAATACAAAGGAGGTGACTTTGCCCAAAGGCACATAGGTGGTCAGTTAAGTTGGCAAAGTTTGGAGCAAAAGACAAAAATCTCAACCTACTGTTTACTCTACTTTACCAAGCTGTTTTTCTATTATCAGTGGGTAAATAGGACTTTTTCTTTTTTAAGGAAAGGAAAAAAATAAAAAACTAAGGCATTTTTGGTGGTTTTTGTCATTATTCAATGCTATAATTTTACACACAAGTGCTTCGCATGGGGGGAAAATGGAAAATCCCATGCCACCCATCATTCACACTCCCCTGGGTGGTATTTATACACCCTCATCAGAGGCAAAAGGTGGTCTATTGAGTCAAAGTCAGAATAAAACCCCTGTCACTTCTCACTCAGTTGTCATGAAGGAATATTTCTTCAAATGCAGGTTGCATTAGGCGAAAGTGGTTGTGTGTTTGAAATTAAATCACTCAAATATGATTAAAAACAGGATGCATGAGCTTCCATTGGAGTGTGTACGTGAACGGGGTGCCATACAAAATCAAATTGTATTGTATTGTACCAAATGGCTTTGTATTAACATTCAGAAAGAGAAGGTCCCCCTGAGAGCCCTTCATGTTTCTGAATGGCGCTTGGAGTTTGTCAAAATTTTTCAGGAAGGGATCTGCACTACCCTGACGGCCTGAACAATAAGTTTAAAGGGAAAAAAAAATTGGTAAATTAAAATGACATTTTTTTCATTACTCTTCAGCCATTGAGCTGCAGTTAAATGAGAACCTAGGGAATTTCATGCCTGCACGTTTACCTGCTTCTCCATATTTGCGTGTGAGTTTAACTCAGCTGTGGGGCGTGGCAGGACACATTCGGGCTGTGTAGCCATGTGTCAGGGGCCAACGATGCTGCTCACTAGCTGCATTAGCTTCTTCTGCTATACAAATAGACACAAAATCGCCAAACTTCAGGTGGTGTCGCAGAGTCAAATCTTGGGGAAGGTTATGGCATGTAGAAGATAGTTAATAAATACTAGACAAATGGAGAATAGGCAGGAAGGGAAGAAAATAACAGAGTGCAATCTTCTGTCACTTTGGGAGGGCTGTCATAACGAAGCATGGACCAGGGGAGGCTTAAGCAATGGAAATTCATTGTGTCACAGCTCCGAAGGCTGGAAGTCCAAGGTCAAGATGTCAGCAGGCTCGTTTCTTCTGAAGCTTCACTCCTTCACTGGCCACCTTTTCTGCTGTCTCTTCACATGATAATCGGTTCTGGGTATGCACACCCTTAGTGTCTTTCTGTATGTCCAAATTTCCTCTTAAGGACACCATTCAGACAGGATTAGGTAATGACCTAATTTTAACTTAGCCACATCTTTAAAGGTCCCGTCTCCAGATACAGTTACTTTCTGAGCTACTGTGGGTAGGAGTTCAACATATGGATTTTGAAGGGACACAGTTCAACCCCATAACGCTACTGTTTTGTGATTTTTGCTTTGGAATCAAATAAATGTTTTATGTGTTTAAAAGCAAAATTACATCAAAGCCTTTCAAAGCAATTTCTAAACATAAAATAAAAGGATTTTTTTTTTTTGCATTTTAATTCCAGCATTCACCAAGAAGGTATAAGTCCACTATGGTCTAATAACAACTACATTTTTTAGCAGAGTACAAAATGAAACTACCTGAGGGTTCTGAAAACTAAACAAAAACAAGGGTGTTATAAACTGGAGTAAACACGTGAATAACTTTCCATTATAAGAATGATATTTGTAGGGCTTTTTTCTCCCTCTTTTCTAACTCCCAACTTTAATTCAAAGATGCATCAAATCACCAAGTGTACAGTGTACGTGGAAAGAACTCTTGAAGAAATTTTCTATTTCTAGCCAGAAAAGGGGGAGAGTAAACCCTTCATGTTGCAGAGTATGGGGGAATTTCTGTCTCACCATTTAAAAACAGTATATTTTTTCTCTCCCAATCATGTTCTGAGGGCAACCCTAATAGCAGAACTGTACTGCCATGGTAGCAGTCACAGACATCTAAAGCCCTAAAGAAGACTTTCCTCTTTGTGAGGGGATTGCTACAAAATAGGACCCATTTTATTGGAGAGAATCTTTCATTTTTTCCTCACCATGTTGCACTAGAGGTGGCCCCCCTCGCATGGAGTTAGCCAACAGCCTGGGAAAGCAAAACTGTAGAGAGAATCCTGTCCTGGCCAGAGGGGCTGGAAAAACTGACCTCTAGAAGTCAGTGTCAAGGAAAATATAGGGGGGAGAGGTATGAGAAGAAGCCCCCCAATTTCTATGTATGAACTTACAGGAGCCCAAGATTTACTCATGAGCCACGTAAGGATGGAACAGAGTTGAAGAAACATAGAAAAGATTTTAGGAACCAGACCATGAAATAAACCACAGACTAAACTCCAGACTTACCCCTGGGTGGTACACGTGTGGGCAGATGCAAACAGCAGAGCAAAGACTTTGAAAACTTAATTGACTTTAGAACCATCAGCCACAGAAAGTAAGAGAAAACTTGCAGTCTCAGCCTAATCAGGTTGGTTGTCTATTAAAACAAAAGTCAGTGTTCTCCAGGGAATTTTAACAGAACCCAGGGGCTCACAAAGTAATATTCAAAATGTCCAGGATATAAACCAAATTACTTTTTAAATACATATATATATATATATAAACAAAACAGGAAAATCTTATCAATCCCAAAGGGCTAAGACAGATATCAGATTCCACAGCAAGATCAACCAGATGTTGAGATTATCAGATAAAACCTTTAAGCAGCTATCATAAAATCATCCCTGAAGTCAAGGCAAACACTTTTGAAACAACTGTTCTGAGCAGAGACATGGAAATAATAAAAATCAATGTAATAGTAAATTTAGGTGTGATAAATTCAGTATAGAAAATAAAATAATTAGAACAATACCATATAATTTTGTTTATATGTGGAATTTAAAAGTAAGTAAATAAAACAAAACAAACAAAACAGAAATAGACTCATAAGCAGAAAGAAAAGATAGGTGGTTACCATGGGGGAGGAGCTGGGTGAGTGAGTGAAATCGGTTAAGGAAATAAAGGCATAAAATATCAATTATAATATAAATTAGTCACACAGATGAAAGTACAGCATAGAGAATATAGACAATAATACTGTTACAGCTTTCTTTGTTCACAGTAACTACACTTACTGGGGTGAACATTTAATAATGTAGATACTTGCTGAAACACTACGTTGTATACTTGGAACCAATATAATATTGAATACAACTATATACTATTATATATAACTATATAATAAAAAAAGTTGAAATAGAAAGAATTCACTGGATGGTCTCAGTAGCGGAATGGAGATGAAATAGGAGAGAATCAATGTGCTTGAAGATGAATAGATATTAGCTAATCTGAAGAATGGAGAGATTTTTTTAAATGATCAGAAACTCAGGGGCCCGTGGGAAAGTTTAAAAGATGTAATTTTATACCAGTGAAATCCTAGAAGACAAAGAAATAGATATGGTAGTAAATTGTTGAAGAAACGGTGGCTAAAATCTTCCTCAATTTTGAGACATACATTTATAGATTCAGGAAGTTCAGCAAAACCCAAACTAGGTAAACTGAAAGAAAACCATGTCCAGTAATATGGTTTAAAATTCTGAAAACTGAAGATAAATTACAAAAAACAGATCTTTACAGCAGCTAGAGAAAAGTAAGTACATATAAAATAAAAATAATTCAAAATGACTATGGATTTTCCATCAAAAATCATGGAACAACTTTTAATCTCAAATTTTGAGGGAACAGGTTTCTATATACTTCATTATGTCACACTCAGTAATTATGTGGAAACAGAAAAGAGTAGAACAACAGTTTAAAATTGTTGAAAAAAAACTATCTATCAAGAATTCTTTATTTAACAAAAATAACTTCCAAGAATAAGGACAGAATAAGGATATTCTCATTAAAAAAAAGGTAAACTTGTCACCAGCAAATATACTTTTGAAGAACTGTTAGGGGAAATTGTTTAGAGTGATAGAAAATGGTGAATAACAAAGGGCGACTTGGACTGCAGAAATGGCAAATACTGGGGTATATACAATAGAGTGCTTTTATTCATTCAAATTATTTACAATATGAGGGAATATTGAATGAAAAATGGCAATATTGTCTGATGCTAATCTGCGTATGTGGATGTAATACATATAAAAGCTTTAAAATAAAGTGGAAAAGATAAAGAGGTAAATACGGCTGTCAGTAAAATCTTACACTTCTTAATATTAGGCTGCTGGACTTGTACAGAACTTGTGATTCTAAGAGCACTCTATATTTGTAATGTGAGATCAAACAAATGAGTAAGCATTTTGGTATTATTGGTAAGTGGTATCTTTGCCACAGGACAAAAAATATCAGAGAAATTAAGTAAAAAGCAATCTAATAAAAGCCAAAAAATAAGTATTTCACTGAAAAAAAGACACTAAAAACAAAG